AGAAATCAAAGATTTGCCAAAAGCAAAATTTTCAGCCAGTAAAGATAATAATGAATATTTAACTGTTCCTGAGATTAACTCTTACATAATTTGTATGCATGAACAGAGAAATCTATGTCAAGAAAAATAAACAAGATAAAGGTCATTGTAGACCAAAATCTCATGTTTATTGGTGCCAAAAAAGTTTGCATTTATGAAAGATTGCACATGTAGCATCCTAAGATAGCAGCCAAGTGCAGCAGTATTTCACTTTTTCATAGTGGAGAAGAAAAAAAAAGAGCTATTTATTTAACCAGCTGAATGAACTCCAGACATAATGAAGCTCATTGTAAAACTGAATCCTCTGTGTTCAAAACAAAACCCAGAAAGATATTGTTCAATGAAGCAGTGCCCAGTGAATCTAGAGCAAATAGAAGGCTATAAAGGTAGGAAGGGGTTGTGTGTCCTTTGTAAGGAATTCAGTGCACTCAGCTACAAGCAGCTGACAGAATGGAACTTCTTAGGGAGTGCTTATTTTTTGAAGAGCAATGAGGAAGTCTCAAAAACCAAAACCAATATGATTTCCCAATTTGTTATTGTAATAAATAGGTGGTACACACATGCATTAAAAATTATATTGAATATAAGAAATTACAAAATGCAATCTATGTTTTTACATTGTTATAAAGAAACCATTACTAAGATGATGTGTGGCTTTGGTTTTGAGATTTGAAAGAAGTTGAGTGCGCATTCTAGACTATGTATGAAAACAGACAGGAACTATTCAAAGCTAAGAAAATTGCTGGTGACATGAAAGTAAAGGAGCTCAGAGTTTTTTCTTTTATTTATGAAGAAGATAGATAAGATACAGCAGGAAATTCCTGCTAATATGAAGGTATTTAATTTAGCATTAAAAAGATGTAATGATATGCAAAAGCTTGAAACTAAAGCTAAATTTATTGATTCCACATATAGCATGACATTCTTAATAGTGAGGATAACAAAACAGTGGAGCAATACACTTCAGAAGTCAAAATATAGAATGTTTCATGTAAAGAGAGAAAAAATCAGTTTGAACCACAATTTTGTACTCAGGACTTAGGCATTTATTTAGGACTTAGGAATGTGGCATTTATTTGTATCAGAATATGCACTGTCCTTTGTAGAAAATAATTGTGTGTGAGACATGGAGAAACTTCATGATAGAACTGTAAAAATATGTATTCTAAGAACTGCAAGTAGCTATGTTCAGAACTGCAAATCTAGGTGCTAAAGGTGCTGTTTCCATAATTATCTTTTTACAAGATCTGCCCCACGACACAAATACAACTGAGAAACCTTCTGGTTGGTTTTGGTGGTCAGAGGTGTGGTTGAATTCTTTGATCATTCTTGTACTTGACTATTTAGATAAATCCATTGGTGCTTTTTAAACTGATAAATCACTCAATTCAGTGGGATAAGTCTTCTGCAAGAAAAAGCTGTCCTATATTCAAGTTACACCCCAAGTCAGTTCTGCAGTTGGTTTATGTAATGGAGTAACACCAGCCCACAAGCATCTGCTCTTAGGGTGCTGCATAGTCCTACTCAAACATGTACCAGTCAGTGCAGATCAGATGACAAGGACTCAGAGCAGCAATGCTACTTTTGCAGCACCCCACAATTCCCAAATGTTTTAAAGGAGAATCTTTAAATGGAGATTTCCCATTTCTGTATGCATCATTTTAATAAAATAGTAGATGTGAGATCATAGTTTCTGCTCTAATGTTAATTTCTGTACATAGATTGTTCTTAGTCATGGAAAAAGTTGGTTAAGTACCCAAAAAAAGTTAGAGCTGCTTATCTACATAGCTTGGTGTCATTTTCTTCTATGGAAGAGTTTTGGTTTTGAAAAAGGTGCCATATGTGATTTAGGAGTTTTTACTTGAGATATCCGCTATCTGCCTTGGAAGGAGGTTCTTTATGACACCGTATTTTCACTTCCTTGCCCCTGCAAAGAGGAATGAATCACACTGCAGGCCTTGTTATTGCTAAAAGATTTAATCTCACACTACTAAAGAGTCACTGTCTTAATGAAGGAAAACATGTCCTACCTTATCCCCTTCTGATCCTAAGAAGTTAAATACCTGCTGCAAGTGACACTGGCCTCAACTTCACGAGTCAGTTCTGAAGTATCTGCGCTTTTGGTTCTCAGTGAACACCAAGGACTTACAAGTCCTTGAATTCCATTAGTACTAACCTCTGAGAAGAATGAGACATATCAGATCTGTGTGCATCACATAGTAAAAATGAGTCATGGAATAAAAAAGCTGTGGGGTACTGTGGAAAGTGGTCATAGATCACGCTATGAAAAGATTTGGTCATTGTTACCTCTCATCATGAATGTAATCATTCACTAACAACTTTAATTTCCAGTATGTGAGAGTGTAAATTCTTGGTTACTAATGTATTATGCTGTCATGGAATTCTGCATCTTGGAAGATGAATCCAAGTATTTAAAATTAGTCATCTTAGCAACTGATTTTTTTCCCAAGTAATTATAAGCTTTGGAATATCGGGATGTTAAAATACTCAGTGAAAAAGTGTTGCATACAAATGAATGAAGAGCAAAAAATCCTGTTTTGCTCTCACAGATATTAAAGCCAGGATTAAGTGTAGTTTTCAGAAAGAACAATTTTCTTTTAGAATGTTATTGCTGTCACACTTTCACTGCTTGATGCACGTAATTCTAATTCTACTTGTTTCGCTCTAGATCCCAAAAGACATCCAGACTTAGTTTTCATCTTTTCCCTTTTATGTATAAATTAGGATAATCTGGCATGGCTTTGAAGGCCCCTGGGAGATCCAACATACTGATGAGAGAAGATAGTGACTAGCTTTTATTCTTGAAACCCATGGTGTCTACTTTGCAGTATTTAGACATATTGGTCCCCCCTTTTAATATCCTCAGAGATACTCCATTCTCCCTGATAGCAGAGTCATCATTGAATGAAAAGGCAAAAGTAAAAAGAATAAAGTCAGTCCAAAGCCTGAACTATAGGTACTTCTGCTGTATGTCCTGTTGTAATACACTGCTATGAAAAGATTTGATGAAGTAAGGTTTTACTTGTCCATGCTTGGCAGCAAAACACAGAATTTGCAGAAGATGGGCTCAAGTGCCAAGAACATGTGCCAAGTCATCATATCTCTTCAGCTTCTTCTGCTGGAAGGACCTCACTGCAGCTCCCAGAATGTTTGAAAACCACCAGCAGTCAGTGCTAATGCTGCTATTTAAGCATCAGTTCTCACTTCAGGGCAACTGGCCAAAATGAAGCAGACAGCACAATTTCTCTCTTATTTTAGTAATTTGTGAGTACTTTAGTAATTTGTTTTTCAGGGTGAACACTGATGCATATAAATGTGAATTTTTGGAGAGTGCTTTGTTTGTTTGGGATATGCTGAGTGAAATCATCTACTTTGTTAGGATGTTTCCTAGAAAACTGACTTAGCGTGATACTGAACTGATGCTGAAGGGTGACAGATGCTTAATCAGGGCAATGCAGCTGTAATTTTCATTAAGGACATTCATTAAGTAGTGCCATGTATTTGCACTGAGTATTAAACTCAGGTTAAAAGGAAAGCACTTATCTCTTAAAAGTTCCAGTTAGCTTGAAATCCCAGGTGGGTTGGTGACTTGCTTGGTTGGTTTTGGTGCTTTCTCTCATGTTACAAGAAGTGGTTGTTAAATGTTAAAAAAGAGTGCCACAGAACAGTCATTCAGAATGGACCAGAAGATTACCATCAACACTTAGAAAGTGCCTTAGACTACAATACATCTTTTTTGTCCATTTTGAATAGGTTTTTTTAAAAGATGCAGGTTTTTATTATTTTATCAGTTATGATTGTATCCATGACTACAGCTTAGGAGCAAGCAGCAGAGTTACTTCTTTTCTCTGCCTTGATGATCTGTAATGTAGTTATGGTGTTTTATACACAACTTTTCATCTATAAAAACCAGTTTTGTAAAACTCTATCTCCATCTTACAAATAGAGAAAAGAAGGCTCAGGTAAGAAAAAACACTTCTTTCCCCCAAAGGTTATCCACTAGACCAGGTGACAAAATCAAGAGTAGATTTCAAGTCTCAAGGTAAGTGGTATCCATTAAGCTGCTTGTTTAACAGTTGGAAGAGCAATTGCTTCATACTTGGAGCATTTTAACCTCAAATTTGCTAATTAATGGATTGTACTTTCTGGAGGCCAATATTAGAATGGTTTACTGTACATCTTTCTCCTATGAAAAGGGAAGTAAAGATTCTAACACTTACCTGCAGCTAAAATAAGTGGACAGTTGGCTTTTTTGGTCAGGGTTTTACAATATGCTAATATGATTGTATATTACAAGTGGATCAAGCTCTGTGTTGTAAAATATTGTTTCTAATCATAATCCTGATATTTTTAAAATGTGGTGTTTCATATGTTTCACACAATATGATTGCTAATAATATATTTCATATTTCTCCTTTTGCCTTACTTTTGATCTTCAGTAATTTTCAGGAGCAACAGTTTCTTGCTGAAGTCTCTGACTCAGATGAGAAAGACCATCATCCTCTAAGTTAGGGAGATGACAATTTAGCATGCACAGAAAAAGACCTGAAGAGAACAGATAAAAAGCTACATTCATTATATGTCTAGTCTTGATAAGTACAAAAATCTGGAACATTCATGTGTTATATAAACCAATAATGTATAAAAATAAATTTTAGATGCATCCTGCTGAATTTATCTGTTAATTCTTGTACTTTGTCTCGCAGGAAAAAAAAAATAAGCTAGAACAGATCACTCACAATTGCACATGTTTCAGGCTGCTGAAGTTGGTACTTTAATTAGAATAGTGGAATGTCAGCATGAATTCTTTTGTTTTACAGAAAGCAGGAAGAATTGAGGTTAATTAAAGGTTAATTAGAGTTTAATTGGTAGTTCTTTCTTTCCCTCTTTACTTCTGGTGATAACAGGAATGTTAGAATCCTTGACTTTGATGACAACAGATTGGGCAGGCCTGGTGTTGATTGCTACTGCCAACATGAAAGTGGTGCTGCAGTTCTGCAGCTCCAGTTCCTAATCAATGAGGTAAGAACATATTTACTCAGATTCTTCTGTATAAATTTAGTTTAATAAGTCAATTCATGTTATTGTAATTGAGTGATATAACTTCTCCCATTGACAAATTGTGCCAACAAATAAGTGGTGTACATCCAGAGAACATTCAACATACAGCCTTTTAGAAGAATATTTATGGGACTGCACTCAGGGAAAACTATTGCCTTCCTATACATCAGTTTAAAGTACTGAACAAAAGGCAGTCAATACATGAATGTGTGTAAAATGATGTAAAATCCATTAAGTTACTGAATATGCTGCACAGTTCTGGTTCAAATAGAAATTAATAAATGAGCTAAATCTTTCTATCAAAATATATTGATGGTTATTGGCTGAAAACTCCAGGGATTTGCTGGGGATATGCTATTATGTGAGGCAATGAAAAGCAATTGCAGGGATCATCAATTAAACCATCATGCTTAGTCTTTGTAAATGGTTTGTCAAAATCCAATTTAGACAACATGAATAAACAGTGCCAGATTATAGCTTGCTCTTTGCAGAAGGTTCAGAAGATGGGAATAGCCAAGAAGACTTTCTGGTCAATACAAATCAGAGGGGGTTTTTTTGAGGACCTTAGAAGTTGGCCAAGTCTTAGTTCAGTTTTGATTAATTTTCTCCCATGACACAAGGAAACACTTTTGACAGTTGCAAGTCCTCTTTGTAAATGGGGAGATCTTAGAACTTCTCAGGAAAGAGTTTTAGTTTGATGGGTTTTTTAAACCTGAAAAATCTTTAATTTTTTCCTACACCTATTTGGAGAAAGTAACTGAACTGTGGACACTGAGGAGGGAGTCCAATGACACAGTCTGGTGAAATTCTTAAGAGTAATGCAGGGATGAGAACAGGAAGGACAAAGTTTGAATTAATATTCTTTCTTTTCATTGGGTGAACAGCAAACCCTATAATACATGGAATTAATTTGATTTCAGTGGTGGATAGTCTTTCTGACTCTTTGGGAGATGAGAATTAAAGCATGGATTACACTGTATTAGAGAAGTCTCACCTCCATATATTTTATTTGCATAGGTCAATGTTGAAAAGAATATTTACTAGGATAAGAGAAGTTTATTAGCCAGTCATAGATTGTAGGAACTAATCTTTCCAGTTACATGCTTGCCCTTCCTCAGTATAAAGCATTGCCTTGGTTTTGGGCAGTCTGTTCCCCTCTGTGATGGTAATACACAAGGGTAGATCTGTGCCTGGCCTGATGTCAGGTGTAAGTGTAGCAAAGCACTTCAGGAGCAGTAGGGAACTTCCTGTGCAGGTAAGTTTCACATGTGATCAATATTCTGTGGTGAGGAGAAAGGCAGTTAAAAGCAGGTAGAATAAGTTCACTCTAAGTTTCTCAGTCAGATAGAGGCCTGGGCTTTGAAAGATGGCCATTTTTGGGACACCACAAGCAGAACCAATCTTCAGAGTATTTCTGATCTGTGATAAAGACTCTGTCCTTCTGTCTACATCTCTTAGTTCTTCCTACATCCTGTCCTCTTGCTACCTGTCCCTACTTTCTTACCTGCGTCCTCTTTTCACAGTTCCAGTTTTGAATTTTCATTTTACCTTGATATGACTACTAAGCTGTGCTTGGCACTGTCACATGTGTGCCCATGCATGTACTAATCCCTTTATCCTTCAGTTATAGTTTTCACACTCACCTTTTTAAGTAGTGTTGTCTCCTATTTTGTTAGTCTTCCCGCTTATGTGGAAAGAGTTGAGAGTTGGCTTGTGTAACCTTGGTACAAAGCTTTAATTTGAGTTTTAAATTGATGGAGTTTTAATTTAACTTTGGCTGATCTTGTACTAATTTAAAATGTTTACATTTACCAGATCGATTTAATTGTGTATTATTTGTGGTAGAGTATTTTTGTTCTAGAAGAAGGGAACGATTTTTCATAAACTGTTAGTTTGACAGGTAGATTTTTAGCAGTGAGGATCATGTAAGAATAATACAAAGCCTGCAGAAAAACAGTGTGTTGCTGTATTTTGTGTCTGCTCTAGGGTGCTTTGGTCAGTGCATGTGCAGATGATGCACTTCATTTGTGGAACCTCCGGCAGAAACGACCAGCTATTCTACATTCTCTGAAATTTAACAGGGAAAGGTAAGACTGTGTGACACAAAATAGAGATCTCATTACAAAAACAACACTTCCTGATTTCTTATAATATATTTTGCCTTTCTACAGGTGGATATAGTTTTGCCTTGAATATTTTTCTTTCAGGTTTGTATCTATGGAACAAAAACTTCACTTTCTCTTTCTGCAGCTTCTCAGAACTAAAAAAACTTGGTCTTCTTTATGCCAAAATATTCTTCATTTTACTTCTATTTGTATTAACTGCTGTGAACAGTAATTAATTTTTTCTTCAGACTGGACACAAGCACTCACTTTTGGCTGAACTGTTGTTCAGTAATAGAGTACTTCAGCTGGCTGTATGAGGGTAATAATTATTTTCTTTACCTGGAAGTTTAATAGAAATAGATTGTGAATTTGGGAAACTCTGGTAAGTGTAAAGTGAATCAGAGTGTTTTTCTTAATTTTACTTTATCAGTACCTAATTGTAGGAAACCCTACTGAAAATGGATTCAATGAGTGATTGTAATTTTCAAACTCAAACAGGAACTGAGCACTTCAATCTGTATTTAGTCACCCAAGTAAAACCTGATATGATGTTAGGGAACTTCAGTGCTGCACATCTATTAATAGTGAGAAAAAGTTCCAAGTTTCTCTTAAGGAATTAGGGCAGTAGTCAGGAGACCAAGATGCAGTACATAAATGCAGCAGTTGTTTTTAACTGGAAATTTAACTCATATTTTCATTCTCTTAGCGTGTGCATTCAGTGTTTATTAAGATGCAGCAACTTTTTTTTATATATTTATATTTGCTTGTGCAGTGGGAAAAGATCCCAGTACTTCACCAGAGCAACAGACTCATCAAATCTTTAGCTGTAGCAAGTCTGAAAATTATTATGGAAATACATTTTTCTTTGTTGTTTATTATCCAGATACAAATCATATTTGCAGTAAAATGTCACTGAGGTGCATGATTTGTAGTGGGAAGTACTGTGTAATAATTTAGGAAATGCATAGCCTGATTCCAATGAGTTTATAACCTACAGCAGAAGTGTATCAAGTGGTTTGGGACTGAGTGAGAGAAGATGAAAATGAAAAATTAGGTGTGCATTTCTAGCTACTTCTGGACAGTAAGTTATCATTTTACACATTGTAAAATGTTTGAATCTTGGTATTCTCATCAGGTAGGTGCATTATTCACAATTCGTCATTGATAAATCTAAATATCAGAGAAGTTATTCCAGTACATCTTGGTTGAGCTCTCCCAGCCAGCAATCTGACACACAACCTAACTGATCATTGCTTATAAGAATGCAGCCTCTGTTCATCTCTGCCTTCTCTTTAGAGATATTAACCTGTTATCTTGGTCAATATTTTATCAGTATTTCTTGTTAAGAGAAATTCACGCACATTTGTGCTTTGCTAAGAGCAAAACATTTGTCATCGCACCTGCCTAATTTTCTTTTTTGTCTGACACCCTAAAACATTGAGCAAAATATTTGCAAGCAAGTTGTTTAGAATACTGGAAAATTTGCTTAAAACCAAATTTTCTCTAATGACATTTTTGAATGAGGTGCAAGTAGGATATGAGAATGTAAGTTATTTGTAACAAATACATAGCTAACTATACTGCCTTCTATCAAAATCTAGTAAGTTGTGAACAAAAAAAATACTGTTAGTTCTTTTATGTATATTTTTGTACAGGGTTCAATTGCTGCCATTTAAATAATTTTTATTAGGACATCAGAGTCTGTGAAGCAAATATCCTGCAATAGAATATTGTCAAAGAAATAAATCCAGTCTTAAATTAAAAAAGAATTTTCCATAAATATGAAAAAATAACATTGTAGGCAGTTCACTCCTTCTCAGGGTTCTCTAGCACTGCTCTAAGCTTCTGGTTGTTTGGGTTTTTTTAAAATTATTATTCAAGCACTTGGCTTCAGAATGAAATCTCTTCATTTTTATTACATTTTCTTTTTACATCCATATAAATTTATTTTAAATCATCTAACTTTCAATTTTCTAAGCTCAATTACACATTTAGTATGTAAAATTCAACATAATCCTCTGGGCAAGTAACAAAAAGCTAAGGCTAAAGCTCTAATTAACCCTCTCAGTTTGGAACATGTATATGCCTAATAGAGCTAAGTCTAAAAGAGAACTTTCTTTTTTTTTTCTGAATATATTTTTGGCATTAGAGAACAGAAGCTGTAAATTATGGAATGGTCAGAGAAATAGTGAATGAAATAATAGTTGCTGTAGCTATATGAAATCTATGACTAAATGGATGTAAAGGGAACTTGAGAAGCTGATAAAGTCATAAGATCAGAACTGATTTTCTTAGAGAAATTCAAAGGTCTGGCCTTCAAAAAGTAATGTTTTCCTCACCGTAGGAACAGTTAAAAATACTTTCTTTTTATCCTCCCCTCTCCTCTTGTGGAGAGGGAGGGTTAAGAGAAAGCAAGATTCATACTGAATAGAGATTCTTTTGTCTTAAGTTTATGAACCAGTGAACAAGCTGGTTTTTAAATGTTTCTTAAAATACTCATTGACATAAAATAGGTTGAAAATATGAATGCATGTCTTCAAAAAATAGTAAGGTATTGAAAGATGCCATATAGGGAAGTGTTTAGAAAGTGAAAGGCTAGTTCTTATAAGATTATTTATAATATAACTTAATTTTAGATTTAGGTAGCTTTCACAGGGCCAACCACTTAATTGTTCAGGTGCGTTTCATCTTTGAAAATGGAACATGTAAATCCTTCAAATTTTTCCATTTGCATGTCTCTCTTCAGGATTTAAAAAAAAATAGTTTTATTCATCCAGTATATTTGTCTCCTTGTTACCCTGTTTGGTTTAGTTGTTTGGTTTTTTTTAACAAATGGCAGATTTACTCTATGAGGTGATGTCGTATAATGCACTTAAAATTCTAATATTTTATCTGCTTGTGATGATGAAGGTGATTTTATTATTTGAAATACTTGTTTTATTTGACATTGATTAATTAACTTTCATGTAGAATCAGTTTATTCTGATGTTTTATGTTATTTGGTACATGAACCGTAGAGCTGGTAGTTTCTGTTAGACAGATGAGTGTTACTTAAGTCTTTGGCTATTACTCACAATGCACCAGTCATCATGTAGTTGAATTGTTTAATTTGCAGTTTGCTTCTGCTTCTTGACATTTAAGATTTCAGGATAATGGACTACAAGCTACTCTTTAGCAGTGTTTCTGTGTAGATTTCTGTAATTACTTGAGTGAAGTTTCCCCAGGTGCATACATACATATATCCCCTCTCTCCCTCCCACAAAAGTAAAAATGTTTGTTCTTTTCTTTGGATGTTGGTAAAAACCTAGTTGTAAAGAGCAAACAACACTTAAAAGCAGTAGTCTTTGACTTAAAAGGCAAGATATAGTATTAAGACACTGAATGGTTTATGAATAATAATTCACTAACAAAGTGCACCTTTATAGCCATTAAATCAGAGTTTGCAGCTTCTCCAGATTTAGTTTTTTCTTCTTCTGACCTACTGTTAAACTAATGATGATGCAGCACTACCAATAATAATTCATAATTCACTGCTCCTTTACTAAGTGTCTCTTTGGAGCAACAAGGAAAACTAAAGAGACTTAATGGCAAAGAGATATTTTCTGTTTTATGGTGTAATGCTCTGGACTTTTTTGGACTTAAGAAAATTATACATTTTTGCCAAAAAGTATATATTTATTTTATATGAAGTAATCATCTTAGATTTCTATTGCTATAATTGGAATGTAATACAATGCATTAAGAACTTTCAAGAAAATACAACTGTAAGCAATGTGTCTCAGTGCTTGGCTCCATACCAAGAGCTGTAATGATCAGACAGTTACTCAAAGACATATTTGACAGTAGCATATGGTTGGTAATACATGATTTATGGTTTCTTTTACAAATAGGGTAGACAGGTAAAACATTTTAAACTCTGTAAACATTCCATAAGAATTGCCTCAGTGTTTTTGAAGGTCAAAATTGCAGACACCTTCCATATGTTAGTACCTGTTTTTCCTTCCTTGATGTCATAGGAGATGCCAGATTGATCTTCAGTAGGCATTTTAGGCAAAGTAAATAACTCAGCTGATTCCTCAGGTTTTAGCTTTTATATTTTTCAAGTTCTATTCTGCTTTAGTGTGTAAGTCTAGGCTTTATCTTAGGGGATAGAAATCTCTCTCCACAGAATAGGTAGACAAAACAATTCCTTCTCTAGCTGGGGACCAAGGACAGGTGATCCAGATCTCAGGCCCAAGGGCATAAACAACGGTGGATCGAAGAGAGAAAACAAGAAGGATGGGACTTCATGGGCTAAAGCTGCAATTGGACAATTAGCTACAATAGGCTAATGGACCAAAATTTATAAAAGTGTGAAACCCTGCGACCTGTCCTCCATTTTGTGGCCATTTTGGGTTGTGCTGCCCAAGGTGGATCTATTGAGGCCTCTTAATGAATACCTACTTTATTCTTTAGCTCTGTCTAGTCTCTGTTCTAGGTCAGCCTTCACAAGGCATCAGTTTTTGGCATCAAGCTACTGGAACTAGACACTGTCTCTATCTGCTGCAAAGAACATTAGGATTAAGCAAAACCACTGGAAACTATTATAGGTCTTCATTATTTTTAATATAATCAGAGCAGTATTCAGCAAGCACAGGTTTAAATATACAACAGCTTAAAGATTCCCATTTAATATAAGTGCAGCTGGGGCAGGAAAACCAGCAAGGATTGCAGGGTGAAATCCAGGTCTAAGCCAGCAGGTGCTCGTTTCACTTACGAACACATCAGTTCATAAGTTCATCTCCTCTGAGCTGGTTCAGGTGTGTTGGCTGAAACAGGGGACAGTCCTCTCTTTCTTCTTTCAGCCATTGCTGACTGGTGTGTGACAAAGGAGCCAACAGTGCTGCAGCAGCTTAGCCAGTGACTTAGAGCAGCACACATGAGCACAGTGTGAGACAGATTGTTGGGTCTTTAAATCCATCTGCATGCACTCCATACCAATG